AATATATCATATGGTCATCCGACTCAAAATGCCCCATGCCAGTCCATCTCATCTCACCAATGCCTAGTATGTCAATATTTATGCATTCCATTTCTTCCTTAACAATATCTAATTTTCCTACATTCATGGAAATAAAGTCTAAGTCATTAGACTTAGGCATTCATCACACTACTATTTTAAAATGATAGCTTAAAATGAACTTATATTACAATAAAATCTTCAGAAAACTGTAAGTGCTAGTTTTGTAAATATATAAATTAAGAACATTTTGCAAACAAATGCAGTTGGATGGTCCCACCCACTTCATGGACTGTCCCTATCAATAATAGCCATAGTACCATACCAATAGCTGCACAGTTACACATGCCACCCCCATGATCCTGCACCTATTTCTCTCAATCACTGAGTCCAATGTTCATTGCAAACTGAATCACAGACTTTACTTACAATTGTGGGGTTTATTAGGTAAATGGGTTGCAGAGTGGAGGAGGCAAAGAAAGCCCAGGTTTAGTCTAATATTCCCAAGCCTGATTAAGAAGGCACAATTCCTCAATTAGTCAAAGTCCAGATTCAGTTCAACAGCATAAATGCAATGATCCTCTGGTTTCCTCAATCTGCAGCAAACTTTATCTCAGAGCAGTTATAAGTCAGCCTTTCCTTCAGTCGTCCAGCAAGCAAAACCTTTAACTTTGGCTGCATTTCCAAGGTTGCTCTGTTTGCACCTTGCCCCAGTCTCTTCACAGCAGTGCCACAGTATGGTCCCTCTCTCTCTACCACCATCTTTCGCAGCATGGAGACTGCTCTCTTATATTGGTTCCACAGCTGCTGATGATTTGCAAGACCAGGTGTCTGCAGTTAAGGTAACTGGAAACCATGTCCCAAATGGGGACTAACACAATGGAAAGAAAAGTCATTTTTTCCTAGTTCTAACACTACACTATTCAGCAGTACTGAGCAATTAAGTAACAATTAATTTTAAACCAAAGAACAACCTTGAAAATATGATAAGTGAATGAAACCAAAGATAGATTACATATTGTATGATTCAACTTGTGTGAAATGTCCAAAAATGGGCAAATCTACAAAGATAGAAAGTAAATTAGTAGCTGGCTAAGGCTAGAGAAGGTGCAAGGAATCTATTAACAGTCACTGGAATTCTCTTTGAATGAGAAAATGATCTGGAATAAGTGGTTATGGCTGCACGATCCTGTGAACGTACCAAAAACCATTTCAAATACTGGAAACCACAAGGCATTCTTGAGAGAAATTTAAAATATCTAAAAATATATAGGAGAGCATGCAATGCTCATAAGTGTTATTATTATTGATTTAATACCTTCTTAATCAAAGTCTCAGCAGATTCTTCTAAAAAAATGACACATGAATAAGAAAATTATGTGAAAACACAAGGATTCAAATGTTAAAACAAAAGATGAAAAAGAATAATAAACTTGGAAGATTTACATGACGTGCTTTTAAGATTTGCTTACTGTTAATGTAATCAAGATATGGTACACTGACTTATAGATCGAACAGCCAGAATCAATATTCCCAGATATAAAGTCATACACATGCTGTCAGTTAATAATCAACAAAAGCTCTCTCTATTAGTGGTAAGAAGAAAGTCATTCAACAAATTACGCTAGATATCCATATTGGTGTGTGGAGAGTGAAGAATATAAAATAACCTTACAACAACAACAAACAAGATTAACTCAAAATTGACTCTAGATTTTATGAAAATATACTTAAACAAACATGAAAGAAAATCTTTACCTCTTAAGATTGGGGAAGATTTCTTAGACAAGAAAGAAAAAGCACTAACCACATATAATATGGTTGGGTATTTTTTTTTTTTTAAATCTCTATAAATTGGACAAACTGGACTTCACAAAATTAAAACTTTCAGCTTTTTGAAAGATACTGGTAAGGAACTGAAAAGGCAAGCTATTGGGAGAAAATACTCATAATATTTACTTAACAAAGGACATATCTAAAGTATATAAAGACTACCAACAAGCTTTAGAAGACAACAAACTAATTTTGTTTTCAAATGGGCAATTTTTTTTTTTAATTTAGGTTGTTTATTTTTCATTTCAATGA